CGCCTACAAGGCTGTGATAAAATGCCTGCGAGGCAATGATGAAAACACCTGAGATGTGGTGGTTATGGTATTTGAGATAAAAGAGACAGGGTTTTGTAGGATAAGAGAATACAAGCCTACAAAGGTTATTTTAAATTTTCTAATTACGATAACAGTTTTTTGAGTGCTCCTAATATTCTTTCTGAGTTAATCGGCCTACATTGGATCATCGATAATAAACAGAGTGGTTTTTGTATCAATAGTGAGGAACTAAAACCGAGAATTTATCACTTCTTGATGTTGCTACATGTATACTAATGCCAGTTTTTTTAAAATATAGATTGTGACCAAACTGCAAGTCCTAGAAGTGGGTTTAATTTGGGAAAACAAAATATCTTTCGAAAATCTATCACCAGAAGGCTGGCCATCTTGATGCAACAACATGGTGTTATTGCATCACGATTCCCCCAGTGATCACACAAAAATATGATACACGAGTGTTAAATAAAAGATCAGCTACATTATATTTTCAGAGTCCATTGGTGATACAAGTGGTGAAAATGGCTGGTCAGCTTTAGGTCTCACATACAGTGCTGAATGGCCCCTGCACATTCTGTTTACTCCAAGTATAGTAGACAGGTAAGATCCTACATCTGCTTAGGGGCTGACATGATAAACAGGATCTAGAACTTGATCTTAAAGGACCATTCTCGATTTGGAGAATGAAGTTCATCGGCTTATTTTAATTTTTCCAGGTGCTGGAAATGTCAGGGAATTTCAAAATTGGGTCAAAAAGGGCCAAAAATGTGAGGGAATTTTGAAACAGTAGATGTGTCAAGGAAATGTCAGGGAATTTTGTATGATTTTTGAAAAAATTATGTTCCAGCAAAATACATTTTAAGGCTACATGTATGATGATAGGATATCAATAAAATCCAAAATCGAACATTTAGTTGTTTCCACAAATTGCAAATCTTTTCATTAGGGTTGATTGAATGACATTAAATCTGGTTTTTATGTCCCCACCACATAGTGTGGGGCCATATTGTCGGCCTAGGCGCGTCCGTCTGTCTGTCTGTCCATCCGTCGTACGTCCGGCAGTTTTTTCCAAAACCGCTACAGATATCACCTTCAAATTTTCAGGGATAACTTATGAGTGCATACAGATGTGGATGGAAATTTTTAAACTCGATACCTACTTCCTGTCGGCCATTTTGAAGTCAAATGCTAAAATCCTTGTCTGCAAAATTTAAGAAAAAAGGCTTAACAGTTGCTTTTAAAACTTTAACATCTTGTTCAGCTCACTTCATTCTAGATCTGATTAGGTTTTGGACCTGTTAGCTCAGTCATGGCAGCCATTTTTAATGTCTTAAGAAAAGTTAGCGTGCGATGATACTTTTGTATCATATTGAATGGTGTTTTTGAGTTTTCATACTTTAACTATTTAGTATAGTCAAAAAGTGGCAGGATAAAAGATTTAAAGATTGTTTCGAGATGTTTTCCATTTATTTTCTGACAGAGCGCTTTCAGTGGATTTAAAAGTTTGTCTATTCTTGCACCAAGTTCAGTTATGTGAAGGTCAAAAGTGAGATTTCTGTCTAGGATTAAGCCTAAGTGCCTATGGCTGTTTACTCTTGGTATAATGTCGTTTCCGAGAGAAAGATCTATGGTCAAAATTTCACGTTTCTTTGGATTGGAAAAGGTCAAATCTTTGATTTTATATGATGATGGCTAGGGACACAGTTGCTTTGTTCAAAAATGAATTTTCAAGATGGCCACTGAATTTCAAAATGGTGGCCATTTTTCGTAAAGAAAAAACATAAAATTTTGATAACTCTAATACCAGCGAACGGATTTGTTTTAAATTTTATATGATAATGCCTAGGGACACAGTAGCTCTGTTCAAAGAAGAATTTTCAAAATGGCAGCTGAATTTCAAAATGGTTGCCATTTTTCTTTATTCAAATTTTATATGCTGATACCTAGGGACACTATAGCTCTGTTCGAGAAAGATTTTCAAAATGACTGCAGAATTTCAAATGGCCGCCATTTTTAGTAAAAAAGAATGTAATCTTTGATAACTCAAATTTTAATTTATGGATATGGTTTACATTTTATATGTTGATGCTTAGGGACAAACAAGCTCTGTTGAAGAAGGAATTTTCAAGATGGCCACTAATAATCTAAATATGTTTTGTTCGGTGGGATTTGCTACTCCGTGTAGTTGCTGTTTTTCTAGTTAGGTCGGAATTGACCCTCAAGGGAGTTGCTATTTTTCTTTAGATCAACATTTTTAAGTTTCGTTTTTATTTGGATTCATTACAAAACATTAACAAATTAGAGTTTGAAATGCTTAGAATGCACCATACACAATTGTCAATTTTGAAAAATATTCGGGGGTGAACCCCCGTACCCCACTTTGGGTTTCCTTTAATCGCAGTGATGCAGACCCCCAAAAATGCACCCCCTTCATGCTTGACACTTGCTGACTATGTCCCTGTACTTGTATGTTTTGAAAAAGGTGTACGAACCACAACTCACCCTTTGCCTTCTGCAAAGTTAATAGACTTATAGTTAACACTTTAAAGACAAAGGTACTGATTTTTAACTAAAGGTTTAGATCCTTTCACTTTCAATGATCAAGAAATTGAATGTGTAATTGAATGTGTAAATGAATATATATATATATCTAGGTGTAATTCTTACTGATAGCAATAAATATATATAAGTTTTCTTTGGTGGCATTGTGGGTGATATCGTACAAGCTTGATATTTGGTAACATGTACATGTAATTGTGAATTGTACAATGGATCTTTAGAAGTTGTCTGAAGTGAACAATATCCACCAAATTCGTTTCAATTTATGATTGTCTGATGCTTAATCACTAATGTTATCCGTATGTGTCTTTTAATGTCATCAACCTCTTAATACACTCAGCAGATAAGAAGCATAATTCATGTCCTAGTTTTAGTCACTTATTATCGCCCACTAATGGAAAAATTACACGTGGATACAAACGTTTGGTCCGCCACTCGAGATACAATCAGCGACTCTCCAAATTTCAAAGGATCGAATGTTTATATAGGTTAAATAGTTCTTTACGCACTATCCATTACCGTCATAGCTGTCCTGAGCCCTCATTATCCGGTCAGCGCTAAATTAGCGTTGCGATTTGCGTTGCGCTTGCGAATCAACATTATTCGCAAGCGCAAATCATGGTTTGCGTCGTATTACGCGCTTCACGCAAACGCAGACGCAACAGTATGCTAATCGCAAATAAATTGGAAACGCGGGAAATTTAAACTTAGAGCTCAAAATAGATTTATCGATTTTTTAATGTCTATGTATATCACGGGTTACTAGAGTATCCGCGTATATTGAGTATGACCGGTCCTAAGCTTACGAGTGTGACCGTATTTCTGTTCCTATAAACAGACGAGGTGAGTACTTGCTTTTTATGAACACTTTCGAACGTTTTCTTTTTATCCTACTTGGTCAATGAATGATACTTGGTATACTTATAATGCCAGGCATATCACAAGGGGCCTTAATCAAGAGAAAACGTATTAATATTAGATTGAAGCCGTAAAATCCTAGTTTCCAGCATCTTTGATCAGTTTTTGTGTAACACAACGCAACTCTGAAGAGGATGACACATCTTATGTATAATATATAGCTAGATCTACGAATTAGTCATGAATATTTTAAATAATTTAGCCTGCTCTGTCCAAATATGATACATCTTTGAATTTTTGAGAATACGAATGTCACTGGCATGTGCCCCATTATTGGAGAATACGGTTGTGAAACAATCAGTGGGCCGTGTTACACTCGTTTCCATGACATTTCACAAGCGTATCCTCTGGGAAAAGATAAATCGGGGGATCATATAAACTGAGATTTGGAGATCTTGTTCAGGTTAGCCATAAAAAGGTTTGGGATTTGTTTTTTTCTACTGTGATATTAATGATTTGGCTCTAAGGCGAGAAATCTGTACTTTCTGATTGATATTCCATTATGAACAGTTATATTGCTAAAATAGCTCATATTTAACATTTTTTGTTACATTACTATGAAATACAGTATAAACTATACTCAACAAACACAATTTCAAAAAGGATAATATAGAAGTTAACCTTTATTTTCCATTTTTAAGCAGCTGTGCCTCTCATGACTTTCCAAAACAGGTCATATTCGTAGCCTAAGAACCGGTCATACTCCATATACGTTGAAACTCTAGTAGCCTGTGTATATGTTTACGCCAGTGCGGATGTGTCAATCAATGTTATCTATTTCAACTGGACTCAAGGAGGATTGGAAGCCAGGGTTCCAACTCGATATTCTTTAATCTCCACGCATGCGTCATTTGCTATTCGTGTCTGTATAATTTGTACGACTGCATGGAGAATGACCCGATACTCTCCAGATTAGATTGGTATGGGATAAACAGATCATCCTATAGTTCAATATCCTGAACCTCATATGGGATAATCTCTATTTATCCCATGATACTACTAATTCCCGATGAATAACCCGGAATATTTTTGATATTGAGAAAAAATCGTATTGAAAATTTTTGCCAAACAAAGCTTCCTCTTTCAATCAGTTGGGTCGATATAGCATGCTAAAAATAAATGATGTTCTTATGTGAAAAACGAATTCCAGTTTTATCATCATCGCTCTGACACAGACAAAAATGCTTACGTATTGCTGAATGTTTTGATGTTGATGTGTTTATGTTACACATGTACAATATTTTTTTTATATTTAAAAATATCATAAAGCTAAGTCATATTTTCTTGATTAAATATACCATTTTTTCATAGAAAAATCTAACTAATGATTTTATGAAGACAGTTATGAATATCATGGAATAAAAAGCTAATTTACTGGTCGGGATTAAATGTGGGTTTATTCCTCATGACAATTTGATATTTCACATATTGTGAGGGATAATTTGGTATTTCCCTCTGACCCTCCGGGCTCTTGGTAAATATCATATTGTCCATCATAATAAAACCCATATTGAATCCCTCCCACTACATAACCTATATATATCTTGCGAAAATCTAGATCTCTGTCACTGGAAGGCAGCCCATCTTGAAAACAAGACACGGTGTCTTTGTAATTAGTCCGACTGATATAGCCTACCTAGAGAAAACCGCCGATACCTCAGCAACAATGTTCGAAACAGTAGGTTGGGATACCCCGAATATATCTCCATTTATCATTTGCATACAACCTGTAGCATAAAATCGTAATGAAATGAATACTTTTAGCTGACATGGAATTGCCTGAGGATTCCTTGTAGCTGGATGACAAATTGAGTTTTTTTTTCATAATGCTACCCACCTGGTATAACAAGTCGTGTGTGGTATCATATTGAAGCTAAGAATATGGGCAATACAGAAATGTATGTTGTGAAATTTGGTTCCGCGACCGGAGGTGATTAATTTCACTAATTAATTAGTGAACAATAATATTGAAAAATAATTTTGATTTTCAATGTTAATGGTAAAGTACTTTAAATAACATGTTCAAGTCCTTCATCTTTGTAAATTATGATGATATACTATAGTGAGGTTAAACAGTGCTTATTATGATCAATAATATGTAAATTAGATAAACATGTTATGTA